GAGGACCCGAGCTCAGAGGATGAAAGAGACCACCCGCGGAGGGTGAGAGGGGAATTTTTTTTAATTTTTTTTATGAAGCATCTCTTATCAAGAAGTAAAAGTGTTTCTTAAATGCAGGCAAATAAAATCAGCACATGCCCCATAATAGCTGGGATAATTATTTACAAACTAAAACTAAAAGGAAAAAAATAAATAAAATAAAAATCACAAAAGTAGCATCTAATGTACTTTGTGTTGGCTACATGCCGTGTGGGCAGCTTTCTGGACAGTGAACGCGTTGGCTTTTTTGATGATGGTAACTTTATGCCGACGACTTGCAGCTTTGGGCTCAGAGCTTAAGCCCCACGAATTCTTTCAGCCGTCGTGGCTGCGAGTCGGTCGTACAGCTGACAAGGACTGAAAGTGATCAGTGAAACATTTTGTCTGAGAGGAGGGAGATATCAGAACTGGCAGGATGTAAGGGATGGAGAGAATATGGATGAAGCGACAACAAAATGGTTTCGCCTCGCCATCGCTTTCATTACTCCCCCCTTCCAAGGACGGCTGAGTGAAAATGGCTGTGAATAACATGTCGGCTTACTCCGGGAGACACTGTATCATCTATACAGAATAGCATAAACAAAGCCGAATAAACTGTCTTAAGCACAGGATGTGATTTCTCCCTATTCGTTCCAGGACGTGTCAGCTCAGCCTTGTGGATTCGATTCTCTCGCGAGCAGCAGGAAAGAAGAAGATCTCTGGTGGAGCAACCTGACAGTCCTCTTCCAAGCCCAATTAATGCAACTCGAGCATTGATTCATTTGATTTTTAAGAAGTTTTAGATTAGTGTTATTTTATTTTCACTCCTTTCCGGTTAGATTTTCGTTTAATTATGAATAACAAAAAAAAAAAAAAACGTACCTCCTCTATGAAACTTTTTTTTTTTTTTTTAATTTTTTCTCCCAAATGTTAATAAAAACCTTTTTTTTTTTTTTTTTCCTGGCCTTAAGGATGCCACAATCAGCCTTTTAATGAAATTGGCTTTAAAAAGGTTTTAAACCCCCCAAAGGATATAGATAAACACAGAGAGCAGCATGTAATCCCCCAATCATAATTAAAACCTGATAATCACCAAATTTAGAGCAACAGGGATTTGCTCTATCACAGAGCAGGGGGGCTTTAGATGCTCTGTTTGTTCACCTCTCTCTCTCACCTGATCGAAGCTTTTTGATGCGACCCTGGCTGAGGCTGGGGTCGACGGGGAGGAAGTCTTTGAACCAGGAGATATCTGGGTCAGGGGTGCCGCTGGCAGCACAGAGCATGGTGGCTGTCTTTGTCCGCTCCACCACCTTCAGCTGGGGACCCATGTCTATGCTCGGGAAGCCAGACGGTAGCACGTCCTCTGGAACGGACAGAAATCAAGAGCAGGCGTCAGTATGAATGCGTACGGAAATGTGCTGCTTTTTCAGGCGATACTTTTAGTTTGAAAGTTGAAAAGTTTGGGGCGTTTTTCCTCTACCATGTTTAGTCAGAATTACTCACACACATTTACCAAACGTGGGACTTTCAGAGTAGTGGAATTATTTTTGAAAATGTAACCTTTAATAGGACTGAATTTATTCAACACTGGGCAAAAAACTCGATATTTTTTTATTTTTTATTTGCCAAAGTTTCACTTATTCTCGTATTCGGCGACATTCTGTTTCCCCGGAGAATGAACGTTGCATTTGCCTCGGCCACGACTCAAAATGATAAACGTTGGAAAGCATACCATTCAAGAACAGCAGGTGTGTGTTAATCTTCATTAGTCAGAAAATGGCAACAATAAAATAGCACCTAAAAAACAAGAACAAAAAAGTTGCCTTTGCTACCACCACACATTGTGAAGAGGATGGTGAGGGAGGTAATGTACAGCGTCGGAGAGCCGTAGCAATTTCTTTTAGCTCAACTTTTATGTAGCTGCGGTAAAATGCAACATGCATTTTAAGGCTTTTTGCACATCTTTACCACATGTTTACACCCGTACTTGTGGCGGCGGAGCTTTGGCTTCCAGGCCTTCCTCCCCTTCATTAGCGCTCAAAACTGGTCGCGCTCACCTAAATGCTGGTGTGAGAGACGCCGCTCCTCCCTGAAACATCAGCAAAACCATATATGTGGAGCACGTGGAGATACTGGTGCAGACCGGAGAACTAGTACAGCCTTCAGGACAAAAAGCCCCAGGCTAATACTCGCAACAAACCAGTCATTAGGTGATACAGCAGGCGGGAGGAAAACAGCCAGAATGTCAGATGTGTCTGACAAGCTGTTTCAAGAAGAATATAAACATACCGCCCAGTCAGCAGGAGTTGCTTCACTGCTGACACGATCCACACACACACACGCGCACACTCACACTCACACATTGCTGTGAAAAAATTATTTGCCCCTTTCTGATTTTTTCTGTTTTGTTTTTCTAGGTTTTTGCTCACACCATCGTTTCAGCTCAACCTCATTTGAAAATCAAACCATGACTTCAGGATGTAAAAAAACCATTAATTTTGAACACCGATTTCACCTGCTGGAGAGGACAGCTATGAGCAAAGTAACTGCCCCATAATACCAATAACTTACTAACCATTTATAAAAAGTGGCAATAAGTCTTCTGACATCGTTGAGAAGAAGGTTCGGCCCCTTCTTTGCAGAATTGTTTTAATTTGGCCACATTTTTTTACCCATGAATGACCTGCTTTAGGTCATGCCTCAGCATCTAAATCAGACTAAAATGCTGAATTTGACAAGGCTACTTCAAATTCATTGTCCTACTGCATAACTTTAAATACATTTGGGCTTAAGGTCAGAAACTCAGCAGTAAAAACTTGCCTCTAAGCTCTCCCATTGATGCCATTCATTCCCAATCTGTTCCCTGTTATTCAGTTACGAACACCGACATTAACTGAGGTTAGTGGGTTTGACGCTTTAGCTCCTGTTCTGGGTTTTTCCGTGATCTGATGGATAAATTACCAACAGGCACCTGGGGAGTCTGGTCACTCTTGGGAAGGTTCACCATTGTTCCATGTTTTCTTCTTCTGTGGAAAAATGTGTGGAATCCCAAAGCCTTAGAAATGCTTTTGTGACACTTTCTAAACTGGCTGGTGTCATCTGTTGAACATACCGTCACCAGGGCACGGTGTGTTTCCTAGGCGTAATTATATTTTTGCAGAAGGCATTTTTCGTTTTCCCGAATAAATAAACTTGTTTTTATTGAATTTTCAAATTAAAAATTAGCTCGAAGACCTGAAGCATTTAAGTATGAAAAAAAGCATCGGAAGAAATCTGCGCGGGCAAACGCCTTTCCACGGCACTTTACGTGAATGCCGTGTGCTACAAAGCCAGAGAGCCAGAGCCAGGTGTTTGATTGACTGGCAGTAGCTCAGAGTTTTAAGAGGTGCGGCTCTGTGTCGGCGTCCTGAACTGATTCCTGTCTAATAACTATGCAGAGAGCCGTTCAGAAACAGCAGCAGCAATTAGAAGCTGGGATCAAGAGGAGGGGCAGGGCACTGGGGGTAATAAGGACTTGTTAGCGGTAATTGTTAAAATGTACCAACGATTAGAGAGGCCGTTCTGGGATGTGTTCGCATGCGTCTGGATCTGTCTGATTACGCTGGGGGGCAGCGGGAAGGTGTGTATGTGCGAATCTGCTCCTATAGCCGTGCGCCACAGTAACACCACCGCAGACTCTTCAGCCACGTTCTGGAATAATGCCGCGCGACACATCCCCGCATATGCATGAAAGCGAAGGCGTGCGTTCAGGATAGCAGTTGCTTTCCATCACAAGCGTGGACCGGGCGCACTCGCATGCACTTTCTCTGCTGAATGGGGATTAAGGATCTCGGTGACAGCGGTCCAGATGGCCAGACACGAATTCAGGCATCCATCAGCCCACCTGTTTCCTCTGCTCTATTTGCCCCTTTCTAAACCACACACATTCTCTTTCTCTCTCTCTTTCATTACCATACACACCAACACCTCCTCCGTACCTGGATGTATCATTATTTCGCCCCGCTGAAGCGATGGTATTTGTTTAGCTAAGCAGCCGAGCTTATGGGGAGCCATCAGGTACGACTCCCTAAAGCCAGGCGCCACTGCAAACCTGCAGCCGCGCACAGACCACGGTGTGGACCATGACCGCATCAACTGTCTGCGTGTTTTCCTTCGCTCCTCTCCTCCTCCGGGCTCCCTGCTACCTAACTGCATGACAGACACACACCATCTGTTCACGTAAGCTCTGAGGTGGGGATGAGAGGCTGAGTGGAGATACGATCTATCGCCCTCTCTCCTTCCTTTTCTACAGCTGGCAGCGTTGGAGAGAGAGAGTGAGAGAGAGAGAGACACTGCCAGATAGACACGTCATTCTGAGGAGGAAGTTGGGGAGAGATGCCACACAAAGTAAACCGGAGCAGAGCCCGACTGGCGAGGGTATCCGCATACCAGCCCTCTGACTTCAGATAGCAGAAACCACCAAAAATCTGAGCCATCCCCTACAGATCAATGCTAATGCTGCACCTGGTCAGTGATTTTTGCGTATTGAAGAGGCAGAGAGAGGAAGGAGACGATAGGGATCGATGGGGCAGGTCAGGAGGCTACCTCCCCCGAGGCGAGGACTGTGCTGGGCCTACATCTGTTCCTCTCTGTCCCCCCCCCACCCCCCCCACATCCCACCATACCCAACGAGAGTTCAGATGGTCTTTTCATCACACCGCCAGCTACTACTACATAGACTCCCTGGCTGTTAATTAGAGCGCACCACTGCACTGGGTTTGGAGCACAAGCACATATGTGTGTGCGTGTCTATCTGTAGGGGGTCTGGCTCGGTATTCCAGACAGGTCTTTATAAATGCTGCAGAAGATGGCAGCGTGGGCGGACCGGGGACTGAATAATTACACACAAGTTTAAGAAACGGGCAAACAGACACATATGATGGCATGCTTTTAGTTTAGGCGAAAGACAACAGAAGAAGGCAAGATCTCTGAAGTCAATAATTACTTTGACAAGCAATCTATTCAAATAATTGCAATAAAAACACTTTTATTTTATTTTATTGGGAGGTATTGTGAAGATTAATTGGAAATTAACTTTGAAAGGAAAGCTTAAAAAATAATTGAATGAATGGATGAGGACACTACTTTAAATTTTTAGCTGAGAATTGATATTCCAAGCAGAATTAAACAGACTGTGCTCAAATTTGAAATCAAAATCTAACAACTTTATAGAATAATTACCATCTTAAAATAATTGTTTTGAAAAATCAATTATTTTAAAAGAATTAAAAAATTTGCCTGACTATTGCCTTGCTTTGGAAAACAAGCTGAGAAATTAGATTGCCTCAAATGAAGAAAGAGAGGTGCATGTTTATATTCATGAAAGAATTTAAAAAAATAGCAAATACTAATGTGACTGTGTTAAATGCATATCTGCTTACTTATGGCTTTTTATTTATTATTGTACTGTTATTACGATTGGTCATAATTAAAGTAAAAATAATTACTATTCATGTTATTATGCTAACATTTCACAAAACTACCTAAACTTTTTCTCAAAATACCAACAACCAAAACATGTAATTTACATACAAAGAGTGAATTTTTATGGTTTACATGTGTTGTTTCACAAAGCCCAAGTTGAAATCCTTTCGTTTTCAGAGACAATCCTCTTTTTAATTTTGACTATGAACTGTTTGAAAGAGATTGATCATCGAAACCCTGAGAAGATATTAACTTTGCCAACTGTCTTTCACATTCTGGCAATTATTTTATGAACACGGGCAAGAAAAGTAATTCCAACACACAAGGAAAAACGAGTTGACTTTAACTTTATGTGCTCCAGTAATAACAAATTTGTAAACATGTGGAGAAAAAATGAATTTCTGATTTATATAAACAATGCAAAATAAAAACAAAACACTGTGGTTTTAATTATTTTATATAAATAAAAAACAAAAAATAAAAAATCTGAACGTGCCAATGTCCAACACAAGACCTCACATGCTTTCCACCCCAAGGATAATCTGAAAGAAGATATGGACACTTTGCAAAGGGCAAAGTGTCCATATGTGTTTTGACCAGATATGGAGTCACAACATGGCCAGGTGGTCACAAATCCATTATATCTGCTGTAGCACTGCTGCTTATGTACTGTGGTGGAGCTCAGCCCTTTAAAAAAAAAAGGCTTTGTAAAAGTATTTATAGCCCTTGCTTTTTCTTTTACTTACATTTCGATGAAAAACTTCAAATAATATTTGGGGGAAATGTCGTGTCGTACCAGCACAAAGTAGTTCATAATTGTAAAGTGTAAGGAAAACAATAAGTTGTTGGCAGCGTCAGGAAATTCACAGAATCTGTGAATGTGTCAGATTTAGCTAATAT